CCCAAAATGCTTTAAACTGCATCTGAATTAAGATGGGAAAAATCAGGTTAAAGTTAAATACGAGGGTTGAGGGAAAAGTAATACCTCCACCTTGGTTACTTGGGTTTGGATGGGAATATTTTAATAAATCAAATGCAGAAACAATCCTTAGAATGTGCTCTTTAACTACCACTATTCACTTTTCTATATAATCACCAGACAATTAGATACATTTCTGCCAACAATGAATAAGTTTTCTGAAGCCGTCACGAAAGAAGTCGACACTCTGTTTCCACAACCCATCGTACACAGCTCTTCCAATAGCCAAGCAAAGCAATAATGTGACCCACATGTTCTTGTGAAATGCTGATTATGCTTGAAATTTCTCTCTGAGGGATACAACGATCATCCTGAATCAATCTGCCAACCTTTTGCTTATGAAAGTCGGTGGTTGCTGTCACAGGACATCCAACTTTTTGTTTGTCATGCAAGTGAGATGTTCCCACCCCAACATCTTTAAACTTACTCGCCCAACGATGCACAGTACTCACACCAACACAATCACCATAAACAGCTTGCATTCTCTGATGCATCTCCTTTGGGGTGACACCTTCTGCTGTCAAGAATTCAATGACTGCATGTTGCTTAAGTCGCATTGACCGACTGTGTGTGCAGGGTTCCATACTTCACACTTTAACAACACAACTGTCCAATGCTAAGGCTTCCTACCAAAATGCAACTGTAGAGGAGAGTCTACTGAACAAGCCAGTACCTGCCGCATACTAGTACTGCCATCTGTTGAGGAGTTATGAAGGTGGAAGCATTGCTTTTTATTCAACCCTCATATAAAAGTTTCCCCTGACATTAAGTCTAGTTGTATCCAACTCTGGGGGTTGGTGCTCATCTTTATTTCTAAGTTGAAGAGCTGGTGTTGTCCATAGACACCTCCAAGGTCACGTGGCCAGCATGATTGCATGGAGCACTGTTACTTTCCCGCAGAACTGCTAGGTTGGCAGAAGCTGGGCCTAACAGTGGGAGCTCAACCCGCTGACCAAATTTGAACTGCCTACCTTTCAGTCAGCAAGTTACATTTGATAATGAAACTAAGCAATGAAATTACAACTCTCGGTTATTCCATAGCATTGAGCCAAGGGTTGTGTCAAAATGCATTAATCTGCAATGTAGATGTGCCTTAAATGTCAATGGAAGGGGCTGGAGCGTACATTACCACCACTACAATATCATATGACAAGCTCCTAGTATTGTAGCAGGATTATTGCTAAACTGAATGAAGAAGTTTCTGGTATCTGCATCACCTGAGTTCTTGTTTCTCTCGTGACAGCAGAGACTCTGAATGGCCTACACAGCAGCTGTGTGGTTTGGAGCATATTTGTACCATGCCCTTACCATGCAAATAAGTCCATGCACAGAAAAATACTGTTTATGGATTATTTTTTAACAGGTGAACCAGAATAGTTCATGGTTGGTCATTGACTTGCCCTTGCCTCCTGAAAGATAAATCATCAGTGTTTAGCGCCATCTAGTGGATTATTTGGATAACACTCAGTGACAACACTGGGCAGCAATGGCATATTTATTACATAACTTGCTTGAGTCATCTGGAAATATCACTCTGCAGGCAAACCCTTGCAGTGCACCTGATTTTGAGATGTGATGCTGTTAGGAATTGTGGGAGTTGAAGTCCAAAACACCTGGAGAGCCAAAGTTTGCCCTTGCCTGCTCTAGACTGTATCTGCTTGAATATTGTTCCGATCCCAATTTCTCTCTCTGTCTTTGGATATGTTTTAGAGATAGATGCACATTGACATGATTTTAGTGATACAGCCTTCTTTTTGCAGTGATGTTATATTTATCATCCCAAAAAGCTATTTAAATTTTTCTTTTTCAAGAAGGTGGTGATAAAGTTGCCTTACTTCCCCAGCAAATATAAAACATGTTGATATTTGTAAATTCCCAGTTTCTTAACAGCAAATTGTACAATTCAGGTTCACATGACTTTCTCCCCCGTAGTAGGTCACAGTCCTTTCAATTACTGTGAGAAAGCACCTCTCTGTTCAATTAAACCCCCAATAATATTGACTATTTATTGATTTTTAGTTTTGCACGAGCTTTTGTGGATATAAATCCAAGTCATTGGATGCAATACAGAATGGTAATAAATGCTCAAGTTGTGGGACTGCAATGGAATGTAATAGAGTCCAGAACTATGTTAATCATGACCCTTTCCCTAATTTTTCAAAGGGCTGCATGCTGTGATACAGGTCTTTCAGATCTTTATAGTGATCAGCTTATGTGTGAAAGCAATCAATCTACTTGTGTCCAGAGGAGAGTGACTAAAATGATCAAGGGTCTGGAGAACAAGCCCTATGAGGAGCGGCTTAAGGAGCTGGGCATGTTTAGCCTGAAGAAGAGAAGGCTGAGAGGAGATATGATAGCCATGTATAAATATGTGAGAGGAAGCCACAGGGAGGAGGGAGCAAGCTTGTTTTCTGCTTCCCTGGAGACTAAGATGCGAAACAATGGCTTCAAACTACAAGAAAGGAGATTCCATCTGAACATGAGGAAGAACTCCCTGACTGTGAGAGCCGTTCAGCAGTGGAACTCTCTGCCCCAGAGTGTGGTGGTGGCTCCTTCTTTGGAAGCTTTTAAACAGAGGCTGGATCTGTCAGGGGTGATTTGAATTCAATATTCCTGCTTCTTGGCAGGGAGTTGGACTGGATGGCCCATGAGGTCTCCTCCAACTCTTTGATTCTATGATTCTATTCACCAAAAGTCAGTTTCTCAAAATGCAAAACTATGGGAGAATATCCCTTTTATCATATATATAGTAGTAAGGACTCTTGTTTCAATATATGGAGTGAGCAATGAATGTCTTTATTTATACCCCTGCTAATGGATTGCCAATGTAAACAATAGATTTGATTGTCTGTTCCCTTTTTTTTCAAAAGTAATTACAATTGCATCTGAAAATGTAAATTTATATCCACGAAGGAGAAGATTTTCAGCTGGCGATTCTTACAAAGTATTTGTTTCAATATGTCCAGGAAAAATCAACAATATTTTATATAATTTCCAAGGATTCCCCTGACTTAGTACTGACTAAAACTCTAGGCCTTCCCAACACTTTGATACCAAACCCTGATACATATCAAAGCAATAAAAGAAAATGTATTGATGGTGGATGATGTAGCCGGTTAGCATTTCAGGTGGACATTAACTCTTGGCGGAAGAAGCTGAATGGCTTAACTAGATTCTCACTTTTGGTTCAAAAACATTTACCCATTCCACTCTTTTCTGCTAGTTAAGTTGAATTTAGTATATAGGCTTGCAATGAGTCAGCTGACTGAAATATTTGTCTCAACTATTTGAATTTACTTTGATCTGCTGAATCTCAAGATCATCCAAAATCATATATGTATATTGGCTTTATCATAATTTATATTTAACGGTTCAATTTGGAGATAAAGGCTAACACTTCATTGCAGGCTACACAAACTGATTTAAATAATTGAATATAAGAGAACACTATAGTACTATCTGCATACAGCAGAACAGAACAGAATTCTTCCCAACTTGACAGGGAAAATGGCACCATTAAAAAGGAGGCAAAACTGTTCAAATGCAAATTAAATAATAGGAGTACCTTTTTGTCACAAAACCAGTGGTTCCCAACCTGTGGTCCATGGACCACCAGTGGTCCACAAGAACTAAAATAGGTCTGCGGCCTCACCATTACTACATTCTTGCAACAAGAGCAACTGGTCTTGCAAAACCCTCTTATAGTGCCAAGGCTTATTAAATATGGTTTTCTGTGGTTGAGCAGATGGCGACTACTGGGTGGCATATGTTCTGTATCAAAAAGTAGAGCTGATGTGGTCTATCCAATGCAGTTTTCTGAATCCCAAATCACCAAACTGAATCTAAAGTTGACCAAAAACTGTTTTGTAACCCCTTTGGTACTAATGTGGGAGAGTGGTCCCTGGTCAAAGTGGTCCCTGGTCAAAGTGGTCCCTGGTCAGAAAAAGGTTGGGAACCACTGCATGAAACCATTGACAGATGCCCATCTATTCCTAGCCTAATCTGGACAATTATAGTGATTAATATGAAAAAAACCCTTCATCATGATGGCACGACTGAACTGAACCTTGCTTTCAAATCTACAGAGGTCCTTGCCCCACCTGCTTTGGACTTAGCAGATCATGGAAATCAACCCATTATTTACAAAAATGACACATACAATTTTTGCTTTTTATGTCCAATATAGCTATAAGAATAACTGCTACCTACTTACTTTGCTGCTCAAAATAATATTAATTTCAATGACAGAAATCAGACTAGACAGAAAAGCAATGTGAATATATGAAAAGGGCAAGGCCACGATTTTGTTCTGACGCTTTCAACATTCAGCATGCTTATTTGACATTTAACTATTTCACACATTTGATATAAGGCATAAATATGTAACACTTGCTCTCTCCAGACTGATGGTGCTCAGCCATAAAGCAGGAACATGGTCAAAGTGCATGCCGTTAGAAGCTAATGATGCCCCATATATTCCCCTGAACATCTTTAGATGGTTAGTAAGAGGTATGAGCATTGGACTACGATCCTAAAGCCCAGGGTTCAATTCCCCACTTGGTTATAGAAACCCACAGGATGCTCATGGGCAAGTCACATACTCTCATCCCCAGAAAACTTTGTGAAGGGTAGTCATAAGTAGGAAATGACTTGAAGGTATAAAACAACAACAAATGCACACTATCAAATCTTTGTCCTCAATCATTTTGCAGGAAGCATTTTTCCAAGATGTAACTTCACAATTGGCAGAAGCAGCTGTAATTCTTAGTAATGTGCACATATATATGTGTTGCGAGTTGTCTTTTGCGTACCATAAGAACAAATTTACACTCATTTTATAATGAAAATGAAATTCAAGGTAGCAATTTTATTATGCTGTTCAGACCTTCCTCCTGATCTGATCCCCATTGTTCCTTCTCCTTCAGGTTTCAGAGTTCATGTGAAAGGAGGTGATGGATTAAAGTCTGCATCCATGTCCATAGTCACCTTCGTTAGAAGAATGGGACTGTCCCATTCCAGTTGATGGCAGCACCCTCCCACTTAGTTCTGATGGTCATCTCCACAGAAGGGAATCTTTTTTCTGCATCATTGTCCTCCTCACAGTGGTTTCCTTCCCAGTGATGAGAGTGAGTGTCTGAAAGGAGAAAACAAAAACATTATATAAAGCCAGCCTTTCATGTTTGTGGGTTTAATTTCTGCATGATTGTTTCCCAATCTCTCTATGAATCTGTAGGTCCTTCAGTGCAGCTCTGAGATAAGTTTCCATTGGAAGCTGACCACAGAATCATACTAGATAACCTTGAAGTTGGGGTGTTGACTGGTTTCCGAGCTGTAGTCCATTTTCTAGCAGTGTTGGAGTATGCAAGGAATCAGTTAATGTGTGTGTGCAAAATAAGATGCATGAAACTGATTGGTTGGGCAATGCCCTGGAAGATGGCTGAGCATGGGACTTTTGGATACTGTTACATTTTTATTCAGACTTGAGCTCTGCAAGTGTAGAGAGAGACAGTTTGAAGAGAGAAGCAGAGAGAGACAGAGTTTGGTGTGGGTACTCTTGCTTCATGAGCTTAAGAGTTTATCTAAATGGATAAAGAAAGACTATTTGACATTATGTGAGTTGATCCAATTGATCACATTGTACATATGTTGTTCTGAACTAAGAAGAGTAAACTACTTGTTCTTTATTGTTCATCTGTGTGGCATATTTGTTTTGTTTAACATTACGCCACAGAATTTTCTCCTAACATTTTGCCTGCATCAGTGTCTGGCATCTTCAGAGGACCTTGAAGATTCTAGAGCCAGCATGGGCAAGCTTCAGCCCTCCAGGTGTTTTTGACTCCAACTCCCACAATTCCTAACAGCATCAGGCTCTTTCTTTTTCCCCCTCAGCCACTTAAGTGGAGCCTGAGCCTGTTATGAATTGTGGGAGTTGAAATCCAAAACACCTGGGGGGCCGAAGTTTGCCCATGTCTTTTCTAGAGGGAACACTTCTCTAGGAATTTATAGATCCTCCAGTGTGATTCTGTGGTTGTACTTGAGTTAGACTGGAGGACCCAAAGATTCCTAGAGAAATCTTCTGTCAGATAAAAATAATTGCATTTTAAAAAATGTGGGTTTTTCCCAGTTTTGTGGGGGTCCTGTGCTCCTAACACCCACAAAAGTGGAAGGTCTTCTGTAGTGTCTCACGTACAATCAAAACTCATGCACAGTTGGATCCAGATTAAGCCATACTGAAAGTAGATATGTGGAAATCAATGTCACTTAAATTAGTTGACCTTTCAATGGGTCTGTTCTAAGTATGATGTACTCTGGATCTAATGCATTATTTTACTCACTTTTCTCAAGCTCTCTCTCTCTCTCCCCCCTCCCCTCCCCCGTGGTTTATATTTCTCTCTGGGACAAAAACACATGCAATCTCCTTGGTCCTGACTCAAGGCAAATAGCAGCTTCCTTTCTGGGGCAAATAGCAGCAGGAGGTGGGCAGACTATGGGAGAAATTGTGCCAGACAAAAGGATGAAATTCCACCTCCTCCTTTCTACAGTCTCAGTACAGCCCAGGGCTTGCAATTTTAAAAGCAAATATTGAAGATGTGGGCATGCAGTCATGGATTCCTCATCTCAGTCTGAACCAGAGACTGAGGTATATACAGAGAGGGCAAAACTTTATTAGTGTTAGTTGGAGCTCAATATATATGTAGTGTACTATCTATTACCCTCTTTCTTTTTTTGTTGCATTGTTACACCAGCCTCTACCCAAATATCTAAGGGCCCCATATGTATGTTACCTTCATCCCAACTCTGTAAGATAGGCTGGGAGAGGAAAAATATTGACTGGTCCCAACTTATTGAATAAGCTTCCAGATCAAACTCAGAATTTGAAAGTAGTGCAGCAAGAGTTGAATAACAACACAGTATTAACTGAAGTATCAAGAAGGTAAAAAGTAACCGCATGAGTGATAAGTAGAAACAAAATTCAGGGTTGAGTAATGCTTTTAATGGATCACTAAGAAGCCATAAACAAGCTTTTGAATCCTCTCTTTATAACTAAAACTGTAGGTAAAAGGTAAAGGTTTTCCCCGACATTAAGTCCAGTTGTATCTGACTCTGGGGGTTGGTGTTCATCTTCATTTCTATGCCGAAGAGCCGGCATTGTCCCTAGACACCTCCAAGGTCATGTGGGCAGCATGACTGCATGGAGCACCTTTACCTTACCGCAAGAGTGGTACCTATTCATCTACTCACATTTATATGTTTTCAAACTGCTAAGTTGGCAGAAGCTGGGGTTAACAGTGGGAACTCACGCAGCTCCCCGGAATCAAACCTGCGACCTTTCAGTCAACAAGTTCAGCAGCACAGTGGTTCAACCCACTGTGCCACTGGGGGCTCCTAAAACTGTAGAATAACAGAATTAGAAAGGGACTCATGGGCCATCAAGTCCAATCCCCTTTTAATATAGGGTCTCCAGCTAAAGCTTTCTTTGTAGATAGGCATTCCGTGTCTTTTTGAAGATGTTCAAAGAAGACCCCATCAGTTTTCTAAGCAATCAGTTTTACTGCCAAACAACTCTCACTATCAAGAAGTTTCATATGATGTTCAACCATATCCTGTGATAGCTTCACATCATTACACTTGGTCCTACCCCACTGCCTCCTCCTCTCTGTGACATCCCTTGAGATATTTGAAGAATGCAATCATGTCTTCCCTCGGGATTCTTTGCCCAGTTGAACAAGTGTGACTCCTTTAAACTTTTCTCATATGTTTTGTTTTGTTTCAAAACCTTTTTTGAAACAAAAAGTGAACAGAAATGACTCCCACTCATTCTGTTTTAAAGGCTACTGAAACATAGTAGAGTGTTTGGGGCACTTTCATTTTTTGTGTGAGAGATACATTGGCCCTCCAAGGTCCCTCAGCCCTCCACAGTTGCCAATCCCATATATGGTAGAGTTGTGCGTGGGATTCGTTTCTCTTGTTTCTTTCATTTCTTTCAATTTTTTGGAAGCACGAAACAGAAAATCTCCTCCCGCTACAGAAATCAACTTGACACCAGCACTGCAGAGCGAAAACAGATATCTGCCCTCCTGAATTTGGGAGGTTCCCAGAAACGAATCGAAGCCTCCACCAAAAGCCGGGACATGAAATGGCTCAGGGTTTACCCTCAAATGCACAACCCTAATATATGGTCACTTCTGACTTTTTGGATGATTTTTGTGGTTTTGGTTCCCCATATTTTGGGCTCCACATACCTACATTTTTAAAAAGTATCTACACAATGTTTTTATTTTCTTCACATTTCCTGTCTCTTAAGCATTGACACAGATAGAGAGATGTTAATGGATTATATGGCCTAATATGAGAGAGTGATTCCTATCCCCACCACAGCCTCATTGACAACACTTTCAGCATACTCTCCAGGGATGTACTGCTCTTTAAGAAACGTTATTGTCCCTAATCACTGGAGCATTATATTCCGTCCACTCTCAGAGCTGTGTTCTTGGGCTTTTTGTGTGTGAGAGACATCTCATGATGGAGTGATTTCATTGGGGAAACAATTTTTATTGTGGCATACGTCACTTCTAGATATTGTTAATACAATGAGAATCGGTTTGAAATTCAGAAGGATAATTCATATCAATGCAAGTTCCCCCTCTGTTTGGCTTAAGGGGAAAATGTGCAAAAGTGGGTTTAGGCATTATTTTGTGGAAAAAGTCTTCTACAGACATTTGATACTACAGAGAGGGAGACACTAATTCATTTAAAAGTCCTCTTCCAGCAAATGTAAGTGCCTACCTATTGTCAAATGCACCGTTCTCTTCTGTGAGGGCTGCCCATTATAAAAATATAAGTCGAAGAGATGTTCCATTTTCCAGTCAGACAAGAGCAATCTGTTAGTGCTGAAAAGAACACTGTACGTTCCATTGATGTTACACAGCCATATAGGCAATTTGGGGGTCTTCAACATACTTCCAACCTAGGATAGAGCAGTAAAGCAAGATTTTTCATTCTTTAAATGTGCTTTTGAAACCAAGCTTTTAAAAACTCTTCAACTTCAGAAAGCAGTTTCCAGTTTGACATTAAATAGAAATAAGGGTCTGAAGATAACTGCGAAAATAAATGGTATTATCTCTTATCATGTCATGAGGACATATGTTCATCTTATGGTGTAGCCATTAACAAAGGAATCACATTTCCAGTTGGCTGAGGAGTCGTGGGATGTTTTGACTATAGCCCTCTTTCCATGGGTTGAGATGAAGGTACACAGGCAAAAAACTTTCCTTGCACAAACTTTCCTTGTACCATTATGAGGTTATGGAGGGAAGTTCAGGTCTATTTGGGAGCATAAAAGAGGAGGCTAGGAATGCAAAAGGTCCAAAATCATCTTTTGCATTGGCAAACTTACCTCCCAAACTCTGAAACAAAGCCAGCTCTGGAACTAGAATAGTTCATTTCCTTCGAGCTCTTCCAACAATTTCTTATAGGATTTGGCCTCTTGAACACTGCTCCTTCCTTCCTTCCTTCCTTCCTTCCTTCCTTCCTTCCTTCCTTCCTTCCTTCCTTCCTTCCTTCCTTCCTTCCTTCCTCTGAATATGTTCCTCTTTCTCAACATGTCTCTTAGAAGCAGACCTTATACTCCAGATGGATTATGACCAGCATGGAATAGATTCATAACTTCCAACTGTCCCAATTTGGCAGCCACCATCCAGATGAATCCTCTCCTCATCCCCCCTTTTCAGCTAATTCCAAAATGTCTCAGTCTCCTTCTTACACTCTCCCTCTTTGTCCTCAGCCTACTTTTGTTGCTATCAACTGAGTTCAAGTTGTAAAGGTAGTTTGCACTCCATTGACTGTGTGACAGAGAGAGGAGCAAACAGACAAAAGTAAACAATTGCAGCCTTTCCTGGCTTGTGAGGTTTCCCTTGTTAATAATGTTGCCACCTTGACTCTCTCTGATGTTCCTTGGCCACACATGTCCCAGTTTTCATCAGTGAAATGTTGCAGGGCATGTAGACTGCAATTTCAATCTTCTTCAAGCACCTTCCTAAACTTATGTAGACCAAAAATTTGGGACCGGAATCTAAACCACACTCTCCCATTGCCCCAAACACATGGAGGTCAGTTGGATGTTCATACACTGAGTGGACAGCTGAAGAAAGATCTGTGACTCCATCAGCTGAACATGATTACAAAGTTGATTTCCCACTCATGTGAGTTTTGTAAAGATTCTCACCCCAAAAAACAGCTGTAGCAGAGCCCTTTTGAGACTTTGGTGATTAACACATGTATGTTTGAAGTCACTGAGGGATAAGGCTTACACACATGATCACAATTGCCATTTTAACCCTATGGTATATGATGCTCAGGGGAATGCCCATACAGTGCTCATGATCTGAACACAAGTCTTCTGTTAAGACAACATGAGATTGCGTTTTTTAAAAGGTAACCCAAAAAAAATTGCATTTTCACAGAGTATATCCAATCTTCATTGTACAGACACCTCTAATGCCCTCATCCAGTAATCTCCACTATCTGTCTCCATAATAATCATAAAGCCAATACAAACAAGTTGTCTATGTGGCACTCCCAACTTTCCAGTTTTTTTTTAACTGTAGCTTCTCATTAACTCTGACCACTGAGCCATGACTGTCCTTGGCTTGGTCCCCAAGCAGTCTATCCTAAAGGAAAGTTGAGATGAGAGATGGTACAGAAAAAAGCTAGAAATAAGGAAAGCCAATGCTGATTTGTCTGATCATCTATAGAGAAATTCATGGCTAAAGCAACAAAGCACAATTAACACAACCGATTGCAAAGTGTAATTTGCAAATGCAAATGGTCACTATGTTTTCCCACAGTCACTGCACGCCTAAGGAATATTTTCCTCTAATTGCTCAGTTTTCTTTGACTACCAAGAATGGTTGAAGATTGCAAGGCCCTTCCTTGTTCAATGATATCACGGTTGTACCCTATCCATGACCAGATTTTATTATATTATGCATAGTGAATAAGATCACAGCTTAGAAAAGCCATTTAATCACATCTCCCAAATTCCTCCAGCCAGCAGAAACAGCAGTTTAGAGATTTAGCAAATTATAGTTCAAGAAAGTAGATTTTCTAAGCACTAGGCAAGATCAAATCAAATGTTGTTCTTACCTGTAGAAGTCTGTAATGTTCCACCTCTTCCTTGCTCCAGTGTAAGTAGCCCACATCACTACGGGAGAAGACCCCATGTAGTACCTTTTGCATGTTGCCTTCACCTTCCAGCTTTTGGGAGCCATTGAACACATGCGGACTAGCTCTGCCTGTTAAAATGATGTTCAAAAGTGCCTGAAGGGTGAAAAAGATCTAAATTACAGCTTCAGGTCACAGAATTAATGCTGTTTTCATCAAATGTTACAAAAGGCCACAACAAGTATAAGGCAATTGCAGTGGTTACTGTTTTACTTCAAAGTACCTGTAGAAAAGGAGACGCTTCAGTTTCCAACATAGGAAGAGCACAGCTTCAATTCCAGACTCTAAACTGCCCCTGAAGCTACTGTTGGATCAGAAAAAAAGGCACCAGGAGTACTTGGATCCTGTCCACTTCCCTAAATCTAGCAACATCTTAAGGGAAACTTAGATCAGATTTCTTTAAAAATTCAATAAAGTTGTGTTTTAATGCCTTTCTCCCATAGTCTTTGTTTCAACAAAAGTCAAAACTCTCTACTGAGGCTTGAAAAGGTTGAAATAACAGGACAGAAGAAAGGAACATGGATCGCCTATGGTATGCCTTCCCTTTGAAAGATACTTTTATTTATTTATTTATTTATTTACAGTATTTATATTCCGCCCTTCTCCCCCTGTAAGGGACTCAGGGCAGATTACAATGCACATATACATGGCAAACATTCAGTGCCATAGACATACATCATATATAGACAGACACAGAGGCAATTTAACATTCCAGCTTTCTGGCTTCATGAGAGTATGCTCGATTCCAGCCACTGAGGGAGCTGCCATTTCACCATCCACTTGTGACACCGTGTCCTTGATGGAGTACTTCCTCATTCTTACGCACACTGCTGGAAGGTTTTATGGTGTCATAAATTAATTAAATTAGCCTCCCCGCATAAAGCGGTACCTCAATTTCTTACTTGACAGATGCAACTGTCTTTCGGGCTGCATAGGCCAACAGCAAGCGAAACTATTAATGGTCAGGAGCTCACTCCCACTCAGGCTGGCTTCGAACTCATGACCTCTTGGTCAGTAGTGATTTAATGCAGCTGGCTACTAACTAGCTGTGCCACATCCCAGTCCTTTTGAATACCATCTTGACTTTTTAATACCATCTTTAAGAGCTTGCTTTTTAAAGAGCAAGATTTTTAAAATATGCAGTTGAGTTGCCTGAAGGGCCACATAAAAGAAAGGTTAATATAATTTACATCAAGAAATGCTGCCATGTTGGTCTATTTGAACAAATAAAATCCCAAAGAGGACTAATATCATTATTAGAACTAGCTACAATTCCACAGTTAGTGTGCCAACTTTTGAGTTCTTTAGTACTATTCCTAGGGCTAGTTGGCAAAAAGGAGGTGGGATTTCCTTCTGAACATGAGGAAGAACTTCCTGACTGTGAGAGCTGTGTGGTGTGGTGTGGTGGAGTGTGGTGGAGGCTCCTTCTTTGGAAGCTTTTAAGCAGAGGCTGGATGGTCATCTGTCAGGGGTGATTTGAATGCAATATTCCTGCTTCTTGGGAGGGGGTTGGACTGGATGGCCCATGAGGTCTCTTCCAACTCTTTGATTCTATGATTCTATGATTTTTGGATTCCTATGTCTCCTCTTACCTCTGCAGTTTCATCATCTAACCTAGTGAACTGTATTGGGCCTTTAATATGTCATATTAATACATATTAATATCATGTAATTGTGGCATTGTCCATAATACAGTAGGTTGAGAGCACAAATGTTTAGTAAATTGGTAGGACTTTGCAGGTGATTAAGCATGCTAACCCTACTTTGATATAATACACAGTGAAGTATAATGGGCTTCTCAGCCATAGTAGGTTGCTTACTAGATAATTACTAAATTACCTAACCACTCTTTTCCCTCTTCAGACTATGTGGTTACCTATTAAGAAATGCATGTGTCAATATTAAGCATTGAAACCAACCATGATAAAAGACTTTGGCTATAATAATCCTGTCTTCTTCCTGTTATTACTGTGCCAGAGTGTGCAAAGTGCTTCAGGTTATAATGGAAGATCTGTTTAAAATGTTTACATGCTGCACATCCCTGAAAACTGATGGCTTCTTTAAATGTTTTCCCATTATCATGGCTGATCAATAACTGAGTAAAAGCAAAACAAAAACTAAAATAGATACCACACACAAACCTACTTGTCGACAGATGAAGTTTCCAAGCCTGCACTGCAACAAATGAGTTGTGGTGAGGTCTAGATCTTTCTGAAGCCTATCCAAAGAAATCTCAGTAAATTAAAATGATATTAAGGTATTACATATTACACATTATCCCATTATAATCATATTATCATCATCATCATCCCTGAGAGGGAGAGAATTTAGAGCATCCTATCCATGCATATCTTCACAGCTCCCTACAGTTGTGCTGCAATATATATCTTATCAACCCAACAATCAATCAGTATCTTACATTTAAATTAAGTAAATTATCAACTCTGAACTAAATAATTAAATTATTCAATCTAAAGTTATATTTTGTTGTTTGCATATCTATATATTTACCCTTTCTTTTCTTTTTTAAAGTCTTAAATCAATTCACAATGGAACCAGATATAATAAAACCATAGCTAAAAGGCTAAAACAAAAAAAAAATTGTATATATCCATCCACAGGTCTCAGAAATTTAATTTAAAAAATCAACCCCCAAAAATTGAGTTGACTTATCCACAGGTCAGAATATTGCATCTTAACTCTTATTTTAAAAGAAATCATGCACTTCTCTGAATAGAGTGGTAATTTGGCAAAAGATGAGAACTTATTTTGTCCTGGGAGAAACTAAAAGAAGCACCAACCCCCTCTGGCAGGGGTCTGCCTTTGGCTTTTTCAAAGGGTTGGGTGGAAAAAGAGTAGTGTTTCTGCCTCTCTGCAAACTGGATCCACATTTTCATTTTCTGGTCACCTTCCCCACTTATTGCATGGCTACCATTTTCCATAGTTCCCTTCTCAACCATCCATTATTTAGCATGTGCATAAACTTGTGCCTGTTGGCGTTTTGTAAGCTATTTGCCATCCTTTGCTTCATCTTTTGTATCTTTTATTACATACATTTAAGTTCTACTCTTGGCTCATCCACAGATTATATCACATTCAATTTTTTTTTTCTTTCAAACATGCCCTTGACTTACACATGTGGGTGGATTAATCATCAGTATATCCAGTAATAGAAACAGTAAAAGCAATAAAACCATTCATTAAAACCAGGGGTAACAACAGAGTCAACCATTAAGAAATGAACAGGAACATGTCTGGATAAACAGGTGGGTCTTCAGCTGAGGATGGAAAGATCCAACACTGGCAGCTTTCCTGATTTCAATAGCAAGAGCATTTCACATAATGGGAGTGACATCACAGGACCTTTTGGGCAAATTAAAAGCTCACACATTGTATTTACCTTTCAAATGTTCTTGAGAAAAGTAAACTATAAAGAAATAAGATCACTCCATGGCTTCCTTCCCATTTCAGCTAGAAAAAAAAGGGATGAATGTTACTTTGGGTTATGTTGGCATTCATAGTTTTCACCTGTTCTGTCTATCTCACTGTAGCTGAAGGGAAGGTATTGTATTGGGGTGTTTTGAATGCGATTTTCCTGCTTCTTGGTTGGACTGGGTGGCCCACAAGGTCTCTTCCAGCTCAAGGACTCTAAGACTCTATGATTTTACTGAATGCAAGATAGGTCAATTAGCTCAAAACTGGGCCAGAACATAATATAGATCTAATTTATAATATTGCTGAAGAACAGTCAGGGTGAAAGGGAACATTTTATTGGAAACAGTGGTACAGCGTACTATGCGGAGGTATTGGTCTTCTAAAAGTTCTTCCCCCAATGAAATTTCCCTTCAGTCTCTGACTGAATATTGCATTGAGTTAGACACTGAAAAATGCTCCAGCCTATTTTATATTTGTTGTGTTCACATTCCATTAGTAATACTTACTACCCCTGTTCTCCAGATGACTAATTGTATTTCTAAATGCTAGCACAAGATTGAAGTTACTGCAATGTTAGAAATTTGGGGAGCAGATTTCATTATGGGGGGAAAAATTCTTACTTGAGATGGGCAATGCCCTTGTTTTACCCTCTGTAGTAACACCTTAGTGTTTATTGATGCATCTGTTTATTTACCATTAAAAGTAACAAGTAGATATTTGTAAGGGACTATGTATCCTCTCAAACCAGCATGGTGTGGTAATTTGCACATTAAATGACTTCTCTGGAGACCAGGGTTTGAATCCCTGCTCAGCTATAAATGTGGGGACTGGAGGTCACATATCCTCAGCCACAGAAAACTCTATAATAGGCTGACCTTAGGATTGCCATTAATCAGAAATGACTTATGGCACACAACAACAACATCAACAAGTATTTTCCACTTACACAGTGTATATGATCATAGAGAAACTGCTGGGTTGTGTCTTTCTCAAAGAAGTCAAATAGTTGGACCTGCAAATTAAGATTAAGGATTCTATGAGCATCTAATGCTTCTCCCACCCAATCACTGCTTGGATATAATAATCTATAATCTTATTTTACTTTCTAAGTAGCATACCAGTAAGAAAAAGGGATAGACACTGGTGCCAGGTGGGGAATGGAGTAAGAACTTTGCCATATCAGACCAGCATCCTGTTTACTGCAGCAATTAACCAGATATGTCCAAGGTAGACCCACTAAAAAGGGAGGATGATAATTCTCCACCCTAATTTTACACCCACCACTTAGCAATCACTGACAATCCTTGATAACCTTGCACAATATTGTTGATGCACCAGACCTTCTTTAAAGCAATCTACATTGGTGGCCATTGACACACCTTGTAGTGAATTTGTAGCATGCAGTACTGCACATCTTTCTAAGATTCTTCTATTTTGGTCCTTTGAGAATCAAACCAGATATTCCCTTCCTTCCAAAACCTTTTCAAAAGTAAGTAAGTAAGTAAATAAATAAATGTGGCTTTCTTTACTCACATTTTCAGTAAAGTGATCAAGTTTGTAGTCTTTGCTTGGCGTAAAATAGGTGTCACTAGTAACAAGGCAGACAGTGGCTTTCTGATGTTCTCCTGCTGTCCACAGAATATCTGCCAAAGCTGCTGCAAGAGCTTTTTCTTGATCCTTTTGGCTGATTTCACATAAACTGCAAAGGCAGATAGAAACACTATGATGGAAACCATACTGACACACCAGGAGGTCAGTCAATACATTGTTGGTTTACATCTTTGGAATGCTATGGCTTCCTGGCATAACTACACTTGGGAAAGATTACTGTTTTGGATTATAGCTTCCAGAAACCCATGAGTGGTAGTTCTAGGCACAAGCTACTCTGGTAAACACACTAAACCAATGGGCTCACTTTGTCTTCAACTTTGGTTTAACACTATGTGCTTTGTGGAATAAGCCTTAGTGCACATACTTTCCCAAGAAGGCCAGGAAAAGCAGCTCAGAAGCTTTTTCTTCTGTTTAGTTGCATTTTGTTATGTTGTCTTGAGTGGAAAACTGGGCTTTACACAACTGTGGTTTTGGTTTATTTAAAGCATGCTGTGCTGTCACGTGCTGGGCCATAGCAATTGGCTTTTGAACAGGATGTTCTCTTTGTGCCCAGTGGGAAGCCGAGGTGCCTCGAGTGAGAGGCCCTAAGGATTTTCCTATACAGAGTCTTTAAAAGCTTGAAAAGTTTAACAAAGTCCTTTATTATTGCTTAGGTCTTCAACAAAACAATCAAATACTTCTCAGATCTTCAACAGGTCAAACAAATACTTCAAGGCTTTGAATCAACTGGTGGCTTTCTTAATCTTGTCCCCAAGGGACAGGCAATTGGCTTCATAAACTGTTTCTTTTCTTTAAGAGGAAACTCTTTTTAACCCCTCCTTGGGCGATCTACTTTCCAAACTTTGCTGGTGTGGGCTCTACTCCCGGCTCCAAACTGCTTCTTGGGTCCCAAGTAGACCTACCAGTCAAGTCTTTGTAGATTCTCCAGCTGGAGTCCTTTGGAACTGTTTTCCCCTGGAATTTCGTAAGAAACGAAGCTTCTCTACAGGTGGAGCTGATTCACGTCCTGTAGCTAAGCTTTCAACTGTAAGACTGAGCTAAAATGGCTCCCTTTCCTTCCTGAACCCTGGGGAAAGGGGCGGAACTAAAAAACCCAACGATGATAGGCAGGTGGCTGCAACCAAGGGAAGCCACTTTATTGCAAAATGCATGGAACTTTGGAATACATGCAAATACTCAAAGAAAGAAAAGGAAGTTGGAGCTCCTGGTACAGCCTTACCAGCACACATGCCAATTTTAATCATTGTTCACCAAGCTGATTTTCAGGAACAAGCAATGATGCTAACCACTATTCCAAGGTCATGTGTAGTAGTAAACCATACAGCTCAATATTTCACTGATGAAAATTAGGTACATATGACCAAGCAATAACAGTGTGGTCACAACAGCAAAAATTATTAATAAGGAAGATCATACAGACTAGAGGCTGCAGCAGGTTTGAGGTTACCAGGGCCATTGAGAAAGGAAGTGGGATGATGAGAGTGAAACAAGGGCATTTTAAAAGCAGTTGAAACAGTGGGAAAATAATTAGGAATAGGAGGCTGGCCAGATTATGGGAAAGCCATTAAACTCCATATTGATTCCAGGAAAAGAGTGAAATCTGTTAATTTGTAAGGTCAAAGCTTGCTTGAGCTAATTTCAGCTTGTGCACTCTAAGCAATGTGTTAGTGTGACATGTAACTGTTATCATTGTGTCCTTTGTAACATTACCTTCTACCTTTTCTTACCTTTGAAGTTGTACATTTTCCTCTTGGTTTCGTACAAACAATAAGTATTTAATGATGTTAACCTGAACAGCCATCTGAACTGCTGCTGCTCCTCCCTGCAACAAAGAACTTGTGAAAATAGTCCACAATTGTTTATTTTTTTAAAAACTACAGTAACAAATACCAGAATCTTCCAACACATTTACCTCATTGGAGGAGCCCAGACATTACCTTATCTGGAACTAAAGCATAGGCCAAGTCTGTATATGGATCATGGAATCTGAAATACGATCGTTTCCATTCATAGCTGAAAACTTGAAATGTACTTCCAAATAACATCCTTCGTAGAGCCTTCAAAGAGGAAGAATAGTACTTATTTTTATTTTATTTTAAAAAGTAGCATAATGTTACATCCAGTGAGGATGTCACTACTTCAAGTATCCATGTGGACAATTTAAAGATTTTAGAGTATGTAGAATTTTAGATTTCCAAATAATGGATGCTCAGCCTGCAACACTAATGGCAATTTTAGATCAGCAAAAGAAAATGAAAAAAAAAATTAAATAACTGCATCTGTAATGCCATTGCTGTATTCAAAACCAGGACCTATCATAATTATTTTTCATGTCAGGAAATCTCATCATGGGTCTCCCATGTCATATCTTTTGGTCCTTACATTGAAAATCAATATTTCCCAAGCCCACTACTTTTCCAGAGCTTGAGGAGACTTGTATTTATTTATTTATTTACTTACTTACTTACTATATTTATATACCACCCCTCTCAGTACGCAGGTGACTTTGGACGTCTAATGATCGCAACTAGGATAGTAATCTTTTTAAAGGTTTAATTCTGACCTAGCATCCAATTATCTTTCTATATCACTTCTATGCTACTTCCCAAAGCATGGGAAATCTATCCTTTTGGACAGTAACTCCCAAAACTGCACTGTGGTGCAGCTAGTTAGTAGCTAGCTATATGAAATCACTACTGACCGAGAGGTAATGAGTTCAAAATCAGCCTGGGTTGGAGTGAGCTCACGACAATTAATATTCTAGCTTGCTGTTGACCTATGCAGTCTGAAAGAGAGTTGCCTTTGGGAAGTCTGACTTGGCCACGGTAGTCCACGCTCTGGTTACATCCCGTTTAGACTACTGCAACGCTCTCTACGTGGGGTTGCCTTTGAAGACAGCTCGGAAGCTCCAACTAGTCCAACGCTCGGCAGCCATGATTTTAACAGGAGCGGAACGCAGGGAGCATACAACCCCCCTGTTGTGCCAACTCCACTGGCTACCGATCTGCTACCGGGCTGAATTCAAAGTGCTGGCGTTGGCCTTTAAAGCCCTAAACGGTTCCGGCCCAAGCTACCTATCTGACCGCATCTCTGCCTATGAACCCACCAGGACTTTGAGATCTTCCGGAGAGACCCTGCTCTTGATCCCGCCTGCTTCTCAAGCTCGGCTGGTGGGGACGAGAGATAGGGCCTTCTCGGTGGTGGCTCCTCGGCTGTGGAACGCCCTTCCTACGGACATTAGACTAGCACCATCTCTAATGGTATTCCGCAAAAAGGTGAAGACCTGGATGTTTGTGCAGGCGTTTGAGTAATTTAGTGCAATCTGGTAATGGAACATAGGAATGGAACAATGGACGACGAACCTGGACTACGCTTGGATGATGAGAAGATTGGGTACGGTTGTTTTTTGTAATAATTGTGCATTGTAATTGCTTATTGGTAATTTATGGATAATGTGTTAAGTCAATTGTTATATGTTGTATGGAGCCACTGCTGTTTCTACTGTTTTTACTGTTTGTGAACCGCTGTGAGTCGCCTTCGGGCTTGAGATACAGCGGTATATAAGCAAAGTAAATAAATAAATAATAATAATAAATAAGTAGGAAATTTAGGTACCACTGTTTTTTTTTTATGGTGTTGTAAATTAGTTAAATTAGTTAAACTTTATGTGGGGAAGTTAATTTAACTAATTTACAACACCATAAAAAAAAAAAAACCTCCCAGCAGCATGCATAAGAATGAGGAAGTACTCTATCAAGGACTCAGTGTCACAAGTGGACGTTGAAGCAGCAGCTCCATCTGTGGCCGGAATCGAGCATTCCCTCATGAAGCCAGAAAGCTGGAATTTTAAATTGCCTCTGTGTCTGTCTATATATGTTGTATGTCTAATGGCATTGAATGTTTAACATGTATATGTGCATTGTAATCCTCCCTGAGTCCCCTGCGGAATGAGAAGAATGGAATATAAATACTGTAAATAAATAAATAAAACTGTTTGTCAGATTTTGGGAATAGCAATTCAAAACGTAACTTTTCTTCGGATCTGGTCTTGTCTATAACTTTTAAATAAATATTTGCAAAAATTATAAAGAGCTTTAAGAAAAAATAGCAATAGATTAGAACTAAGCAAGTTAAACTATCACATTGTATCAATATTGCTTTTGCCCTATGAGAATTGTAACATTAGTTTTGCGCATTGAAGCATTATGTGCATCCTTGAAAAGCATTCAGAAGTGCAAACTCATTCTTCCCTATATTCCTTTTCACTTCCTTATAACAAGTGCAGCAAACTGGAGCCTAGATTCCAATAGTGCTCCTGGATAAGATTTCTGTGTCTCTTCAATTCTGGCAAGATTAAATTTCAGCTCATACTTAATTGACAAGGTCTGCTTACTGCTGCCATTTCCAGTGTGATGGGCTGCCCGCCGAGGTTCGATGAGACAATGAGAGCTTTGGGGATTGAATAAAGAATATTGGATGGAAACCGGCTTTGTTTGAGGGCACTAGTAGTTTGAGATGCTCCGGCTGCATCTTCTTTCTCTTCGTCCAGCTTGTGGTCTTGGCACTTCTATATGTAAACAAATGAATGGACAGGAGAACAAACAGAAACTAAGCAGTACAGCAATATGACTAATCTTGTTTCTAATGTGCTTCCCCTTTCCTCAGTAATTTTAATATATTTCGTATGACATGTTCTCCTACCTAAGCAAAGAAACTGTTGCAAAACTACAATATGTTTTGTCTGTTATCTACAAGGAGATAAAATGTTTGTTGTTGCAGATGTTTCAAAATTGTGTGCAGGAACAGAACTCCTTCTTTTCTTCCACAGCTGTTTGCTAATGTATCATCTTATAACAATATCAGACATTTAGAGGCAAGGAGTGCTAGTAGTTTTGCTGAGAGCATAGTTTAGCTACTGATAATTTGACACCTTTTGCAGTAGAGCTATTTCTTTTAGCACATATTCTTAGGAGCAAATCTAATAAAAATGTGGCCAGGGAAATATAGCTATCTGAGCTGCCAAGGTGACTTCAGAGCCAAACATCTTGTTCATTTACTGTTCTATTTATTGTACCGTTGCATAAAATGGATTGACTGATTTTATATAAGACAATTAATTAGCAAAGAAAATCCTCCCAACTTACATGCCTGATAAAAAGTGCAGGAATCTTTTCTGTGGCAGAAAAGACAAACACTTTTTTTTTACTTACTAGCTGGCTCTTCTTTATTTCCTCTTGCAATATTTCTATGTAACTCAACTTGGAACCAACCCATCTTTTGACTTCTTGCAGCTTTGGTTCAGGATCCATAGCTCACTAATAGAATGAAAGCCGTCGCCGGGAAAGTTACCTGGCGACAGGTGAGACTCGAAAGGTAGAGCTGCCTTGGCTCGGTCTCCCAGATTATCATGGCACAGCAGCTCTTGTTCAGGTTTAGAAATTAAATGGCTCTTGTCAAGGCTACAGCACTAAAAAGAGACTGGAAATAAAGATATAAATCCTAACCTAGTATATATACAGAATTTAGAAAGATTCCCTTTTCTCTCCATAAAGTAAAGATAAAGGTTTTCCCTGACATTAAGTCTAGTCGTGTCCGACTCTGGGGGGTGGTGCTCATCTCCATTTCTAAGCCGAAGAGCCAGCGTTGTCTGTAGATGCCTCCAAAAGTCATGTGGCTGGCATGACTGCATGGAGCGCAGTTACCTTCCTGCAGAAGTGGTACTATTGATCTACTCATATTTGCATGTTTTCAAACTGTGAGGTTGGCGGGAGCTGGAGCTAACAGGAGGAGCTCACTCTGCTCCCCAAATTCAAACCACCAATTTTTTGATCAGCAAGTTCAGCAGCTCAGTGGTTTAACCATGTGTTAGTTATTTTCCCTTCTGTGTCATATGTTCTAGATTGTTTAGGAGATATTCAATGCAACTCTACATGTGATTAGTAAATAAAATTATGTAAATCTCCATTAATTGGGCAATAATTGTATATGTTGGATGTGTCACTGTTATACGTGGGTGAGGCAAAATGTAGCAGAAGTCCTAATGTAATATGTGGGACATTATTTTGCCACAGTTTCTCAGATAGTTTTATAGCACTTCCTTATCCATTCATTCTGTCAATAGTGGTTCCATTTACTTTTTCCAATGAATTGCCTGGAAATTTTTTTAAAAGAAAAAAAATAATGGCTACTCATTCAGAACATGCTGTTATCTTGGTGCAGCAACAGAAGTCCAAAACAATCATAATTTAATACTTAAAAATATGTTCAAAGGATTTTTAGTATAGTCATAGGCTTTCATGGCCAGAATCACTGGGCTACTGTGAGTTTTCCGGGCTGTATAGTTATACAGCCTGGAAAACTCAAAGCAACCCAGATTTTTAGTATACTTTTTTGATACAAACTACCTTGTACATAGAGGGAAGGAGAAATTACACTAACCTCCCCTTCACACACTCTGAGATAACCTTGCCATTATTTTGGTGATCTCTCCCCTGTGTTCTTAATAGCAGTTTAGGAGACAAAGTATAGATGTCCTTATGTTGTTAAAATGCAACTCCAAGCATCCCCCGACACTGACTATATTGGCTAGGGTTGCTGGGAGGATTAATAGAATAATATCTGGAGGCCCACATTTGCCCTCATTGATTCATAGATAACTGCATGTGGCTATTTGTCCCCTTGGGAAGACCTTCTGATTACTTCAGGACAAGTAATCAAGAATATTGACTATGACCAATTCATTTGACAATTCTAAACAGAGAGACAGGGTTCAAGAGGCATTCTGAGCACTCGCCACATATTTAAAGAAGACAAATACAATCTTGCACAAATGATAAGATCTTCTGAGATGGGTTTTTTCCCCCTATCACACCACCATCACATGCACAGTTAGTGAAGTAACAGGAAACAATCTGTTCAATGGCCATGAGAGATAAGACTTTACTCCCTCCAAGACCCTTTTCCTGGCAGGCAAAGAGCTTTTTATTTAAATAGGCCTTTGGTTTTCAACTGGCTCTGGTAAAAGGGCCTTTTAATGGGATGTGAGAGGACGTCATAGAGAGCTTGTTTTCTGCTGCCCTAAAGTCTAGGATGAGGAACAATGGCTTCAAACTACAGGAAAGGAGATTCCATCTGAACATTAGGAAGAACTTCCCGACTGTGAGAGCTGTTCAGCAGTGGAACTCTCTGCTCCAGAGTGTGGTGGAGGCTCCTTCTTTGGAGGCTTTTAAGCAGAGGCCGAACGGCCATCTGTCGGGGATGCTTTGAATGAGGTTTTCCTGCTTCTTGGCAGGGGGTTGGCCTGGATGGCTCACGAGGTCTCTTCCAACTCTTTGATTCTATGATTCTATGACTCTTATGTTTTGTATGTATTTTTACCACATTTGAAATATTATTACTTGATTGTCTGTTTAAAGGTTTTAAAAAACTTAGGCACACATATTGCTTTAATTGTAATAAAATAAAATGGTAAATCCGGCAAAGAATTCCAAACGTCTGAAATCTCACTAGCAGATGTTATTGCGTGCCTTAAAGATGTTTCTGATCTATGGACACCTTGTTCTGTAGCCCCTAAATTTCATGGACAAAACCCAGGATATGTATGGCCAGGCAACATCAGAGTGTTTTCAAGTTGGCAAAAATGGTTAAAGATGAAGAAGACACAAAGTAGTAGAAGATGCAGCATGGGTTGTTGTAGGTTTTTTGGCTGTATGGCTGTATTTTCTCCTGATATTTTGCCTGCATCTATGGCAGGTATAATCAGAGGTTGTGAGGTCTGTTCACTTAGGCTGAGTATACAGAGAAGAATAAGGTTGTACCTTCTCCATTCCTTTCACCTCACTGGGTTTTTTTGTGATATAAGTTTTTATTGTGTTATGTGCATGCAGTATACAAAATACAAATATGGTTTCCCCAGACCCACCCACCTCACTGGGTTTTTAAGTGCAAACTGCTTTCGCAGCAATTAAAACAAGTTTATGTTTTAGCAGCCAGATCCTCTATTGCTGGAGACATAAAGCAGATGCTGCATTTACATCTCCTCATCATCAAACTTGATTATGTCGAAATACCCAGTTTACATTTACACCTGTCAATCATACTGTAGTTGCATTCTAGGTTGCTGATTTTGCACTATGCAAGGGGCAGAGTGGATGAACTTCTAACAGTTTTCAACATTTTTGGTTCTATAATTTTTGGGTTACAAAAACTGCAAAGAGCTATCGTTTGTGTTTTTCTGCTTCTTGGCAGGGGGTTGGACTGGACGGCCCATGAGGTCTCTTCCAACTCTATGATTCTCTGTGTGTTGTTTATTTGTTCAGTCACTTACAACTTCGTGACCTTATAGACCAGCCCACACCAAAGCTCCCTGTCAGCTGTGGCAAGCCTCAGCTCCTTCAAAGTCAAGCCAGTCACTTCAAGGATACCATCAATCCATCTTGCCCTTGGTCTTCTGTGTGTACATGAAATTAAAACAATGATGATTTCCCTGGCAGAAAACAGAGCATATCTTTTTTGGTCTATGTTTCCCAAATTGCTGAGGGAATCTAGGAATTGGAATCTAAAGAAGTAACTCTGTTAAAGAAATATATTTTCTAAGCTCTGGAAGGCAGAGAAGGGCATGTTTACTTATGTAGTTTAAAAGATAACCCCACAAAGAGAAAATCTATTCTTTTAAAATATTTTTTGGTAGTGTTTCATTACCCGGACAGAGACAAAAAGGGAATATAGACAGAGAAGGATAGTCCATTGGCGGGGGGTGGGGAGGTGATGGAGGAAAACCATTTCCTCCATTTTTGCATGGTTATCCCCCTCCCCAAACTTCCCATGTCATAAACGAGGGTTGTTTTGACTATGGCAACATGAATGAGGGAAAATAACAGAAAAATAGGGGGGAAAGGTTTAACTCTTTAAACCTCCCTCCCCTCATAAAATTGACTCTTTCTCTGTCTGGTCTAGACACCTTTTTGACCTTCGCTTGGATAACGGAACAGTGCTTATTCTCTCTTATAGTATTATAATAGGAAAAGCTCAGTTTCACAGATGCCCTGATGTATAATAATTCTACAAGAAAGAAGCAAAAAAAAAAACAATTTAATTTTTTTTCCCAACATGTCAAGGGATTGAAAAGAAACTTACTCAGAGGTTGAAATAAAAAGTTATAGCTGATGTGAGCAATGTCAGGAACAAGTAAAACATGGTTTAGATATATATGTGTGTGTGTGTATACACACACAGCAGGAATTTAAAAAACAAAACAAACAAACAAACAAACAAACAAACAAAAACAAAACCCCACATCCTTCAACTTTCCACCAGATTTTTCCATCTGGAGGAGCTCTATGTGACGATGAGAAACATTTTGTGTCTTAGACTAAACTTAAGTCTCAAGGCAAGCCTAATTTCACAAAATACATGTTGTAGTGGCATTGTACCAATCAGAAAGCGCAGTTAGAAGTTTCATGGAAATAAATATCTCAATTTCTTTATTTTATGCTGTTCGTGGATTTGAAAACTGACAAAGAAAAGTTGGAATTTTACATATATTTCTAAAAATTACTGTTTGCCCTATGTTGTCAGATACCTTTATATGAAAATGCCACTGAAATACAGTACACTGAATAAGCTATCCTTATCTTTACAGTTTGCTTACTCTCTTATAGAAACAGCCTTGTGAAAAGCAATTGCTTTTGACAACTGTCAGGATCACAACATGTAAAAATATACGGAAAAATTACCTGAGGGGTAGGATGACTGATTTCCAACCTGAATGAAAAGGGATAAAAAATACACAGCTGAAGCAGATAGGAACTCCAGTTCAACAAAGAAATAGCTTGCATGACAAGCAACAGAAATAGAAAAGAAAACAAAGTGAATCATCACTATGGTATGTAATGAATAGAGCATAACACGGACTTCCCAATTCTATGCATTTTTATTCAAATGCAATTTTAACTAAATTCCTATGGGAATTTCCATAGGACTCTAGACTGCCAAACGATCTAATATTTGGGATACATATAAAGCATAAACAAGGGAGACCTTACCCATGAAGACTAAATATCTTCCTCCACTTGTCTAGATCTGATATTTTGCTGGTTATCTCTTCGAGTTCCATTTGTTTCAGGCTCTGTGGATCAGCCAATGTTTCCTTGTCCATTTGTATACTGCAGAACACAGCGTTAAGTAAACATTAGAAGTCAAGTCTCTCCAGCGTGTAGAAGTCTTCTCTCCTGCTCATTCTTTTTATATAAGCATCTAGATAAAGTGTTCTGAACTTGGGTTTGAATAGCCGGAAGCTCAGTCCTTTTTATGTCTCCACTCTGCGCCTACTGTAAACTCAACACTGTCACATTACAATTAAACTTTCATTAGAGCTGGACGTAGCCCCATGTTTTTCTGTCTATTGTATATTCGGCATAAATGTTTAATTTAAAGACACAGATTTATATTAAAAGAGCCTGCGATTACATATCTGTTTCAGGGAAATCGGAATTATTTAATAATTGATAGCAAGGGCCTCCATATCGTGTAAGAAGGTTGACAGGTTGCTTTTATACAACATGACAGGGGTTGGTCTCCCAAAGGGTTAATGCTGGAGTCTGTTCAAGTTGATAGCAGAATGATGAATGGAATGGAATGAGATCCATATCTTGTCCTTAAATTAATAGCAATTGGACTAATACACTTCCTGAAGATCTCATGTCTACAAAACACAATATGCTTTGTAAAGGTTAGGTAGTGTTCAACTTAGGAAAGAAGAAACTTAAACCAAAGCCAGGCATTTGATCTTTGATGGGCATGTGCTGATATGGCAGCTGGAATGCATGTGATATTGGGTATACTGGTGGTCACTGGGCTTTGGGTTTCTCAGGCCTGTATTGTTTTTACTGTGACCCCAAGATCCACCAACAGAGCTGAATGTAAAAGTAATGGGCCTAAACCTATTTGCTAGGTTTTCTTGGAGTTGTCATGGGCAAGTTGATTCTGATTTATGGGGGCCCTATCATATGGTTATTATATTCAGAGGAGGCTTGCCATTCCCTTCCCTTTAAGCTGAGAGAGTGTGAGGTTCACAAGGTCACTCTGTAGGTTTCCTAGGCTGAAAATTTATTCAAATTCTGGTTTCCCAGAGTCCTAGTTCAGCCACTATACCATGTCATTTAGTGAATCAGTAGAACGTCTGTATTGATTCCTGTAGATATTTGTCATAAAGTCAGACAAAGGTTGCATCAAAATTACCTCTCATTTTCTCAAGGAGATGGAACAAGAAGCAGTTAATCTACCTTATGTCTGCTATCCAGAAGGTGGATGTAAAACAGAGTGGAGGATGAGCCCTGGAAATAGGACTTTGTCATGGGCCAAGTGGCTTGACAGGGAGCTCTGGCATGGGCTGGTCCATGAGGTCATGAAGAGTTGGAAACGACTGAATGAATAAACAAAAACATAGGCCAAGACTCAAAGTCTGATGAGGTTGATTTTCCCCCTCAACTCGTGGAATGGCAGCTTCAGGATACACTAAGCCAGGATCCACCCGAGACTGATCAGACAAAGACAGCATTAGAGCAACTGGAAATTTTTTATAAGGAGACATAGCTTCCAAGCCCAGTGGTGGAGATGAGGGCAGAATAAAGATGTTTAATGAGGCTTCCAAGAAAAATGAGAAGCTCTCTTAATCAAGGACAATTGGGTGCAGCCAATTTAAGAGACAGCTCTGACCCACATTCTCTGTTGGAAACAATTGTCTGGTCTTTAGCTATGGCATGTCGTTCCTGCCGTTCTGCTTCAGATACCTAAAACTCTGAATTTAGACTCACTGACAACCCTGTTTGGCTCTCAGAATGTTGGACTGGCTTTTGATTTCTGTCTTGCACATCTTTATTTTTGCATGCAAATCCTTCCAGGCAAGTTAGCTTTTCTGAACTTTGATTTACAGGCCCTGTCTTATCTGTCATTATCTGCACAAACTTGGAGTAATTTGCTTCCTCCATAGCAACTGTTTGCGTGTGCGTCAAAACCTGAGTGAGGATAGATTGGGAGACAAGGAAAACACTAATTCAGGAACTATACAGACCCCACTGAGAGTATTTGCAAATTACAGCTACAAATCAAATAAGCCTTGGAAATAGTAGCAAGCTGCCATTCTCCTAACTAAACTGGACATTTACATGCAGGTCATTCCTCTTGCGCAGCCCTCTGGAGAACTTGCACCCTTGTCTGCTGCCTGGAGATAACCCACAAAAATTGGAGCTCAGTCCCAGACCTTGAGATCTGATAACCCTTGTAATCAATGTTTAATGCAACATGTTTAATGACATTATCAAATTCTTCCCCTTTGTAATACCATCAGCACCTGCCTCCTGTGACATTACAAGGGGTCATCCCAAGATCTTAGGTTTTCGCCTTGGAATAGTCCTGATCTGGCGAGCCTACTGCTCAACACTTTCAAATGAACACAGCTGCACAAATATTATCCTCTGACCTTACTCTGAGGTTCCTAAAAGACCCTTACTATAATTATATGGTATTGAATGAACCGTGGAAGACAGTCTATAACAGATATACATACGGCAAGGAATAAGAGAGAAATTGCCATGAGTGAGTGTAAAGTCATATCTGGAAAGAAGTCATGCCGTGCTCTATTGTGAAATGTCTTTAGGGAAAATCTATTACCTGTTAATGAAGTTAAGATGAATGCAGTCTTAAAAGCCACCAGAAACCCGAGTAAATAGTTACATGTTAAGAGGTAGGATTTTAAGATAAATAATTCATCAAAAGAGGAACCCATCCCAGATCACTCTGTAACAAGATTGCTGCAAAAAACAATTTCTGCTTTCCCCTTGCAGTGCACAATTTTGGAAGTTTTTCAGACACACTTAAGATGCATCTACACTGGAGAATTAATGCAGTTTGGCACCACTTTAACTGCCACGGCACAATTGAACTTCTGTGACACATCAGCATCTAGAGCAGAAAAGGCTAAAGACCTTTTAAAACTACAACTCTCATGATTCTGGTGGCACAACAGATTAAATTGCTGAGTTGTTGAACTTGCTGACCGGAAGGTTGGTAGTTCGACTCGTGCTGTTAGACCCAACTTCTGCCAAGCTAGCAGTTTGAAAACATACAAATGTGAGTAGATCAATAGGTACCACTTTGGTAACAGTGCTCTATGCAGTCATGCTGGCCACATGACCTAGGAGGTGTCTATGGACTACGAAGGTTATTTGGCAATAAATGGAGGTGAGCACCACCCCTTAGAGCTGGTAGGGGAAGCCTTTACCTTTATCTGTGTTTTGTTGTTTTTAGGCATTGAATGTTTGCCTTTGTGTTTTTGTAAACTGGGATCCACCCTGAATCCCCTTGGGGAGATAAGGCAGAATACAAATAAAGTATTATTATTATTATTATTATTATTATTATTATTATTATTATTATTATTATTATATTGAGCCATGGCAGTTAAAACAGTGCCAAGCTACATTAATTCTACAGTCTAGATCAGTGGCTCTTAACCTGTGGGCTGCAGACCACCAGTGGGCCACAAGGATGAAAATCTGGTCAGTGAGCCTCCATTCTCTTTATTGATTTTATTTCCATTCCTTTCACACTGCCTGCCACTCTTTCCCTGTTGCTGACCTTGGCATATATTCTGTATCAGAAACTAGAGTGGATGTGGTCTATCCAATGGAATTTTTTGAATCGGCACCTCAAACTGAATCTAAAGTTGACCAAAACTGATTTGTAACCCTTTTGGTATGAAGAATGGTCCCTGGTCAAAGTGGGCAAGTAGTCTAAAAAAGGTTGGGAACCACTGGTCTAGATGCACCTTCAGTGTGAAACTATACATTACCTCAACAACTTTAGCTTTCAAACCACTGCCTGACTGGATTATGTAAATACTGTGTCATAAAGAGGGATTAACAGATCCTATAAAGAGAGATTAGCAGATGAGAGGGTCAGTCTTTCAGCTTCTGCCATCCTTTGTGATAATTCCCTAGAAACAGTAGGCTTACGTGCAGTTTCAGAGCTTGCCGAGGGAATTTCTTTTTTAAAAAGTGACCTATTAAGAATAGCAGAAGAAAATTGGTCCAGTGGGAGAGGTTATGGATGGTTTCCCAGCTACTGATTTTCCTTACACGTATCCCATCTCTGCATGTATTTGATCAGTAATATAAAACAACTTCAAAATGCACTAAAGAGCTTTTATTTATTAATTTGCCTGTAATTGCCCTTGAAATAGCAGCTTACAGGATTCTTTGCAGGAAAAGCACATTTTAAAAACAGTTGCTATGATTAACAATGACATAGACTGTGAACTGCTGTGGACTATAATGAGATTTCTTGAGAACTGGAGTCATTAAAAGCACAGCTGGGATTTGGAAGTTGAGAGGGTGACATGCAAAGGAGAAGAGTCTGGACAGAGCAAGAGGGCAGGCCGCTTTTTGAACAAGCTGCAAAAGGAGCCCAAAATAGACTTTATTGAAGTGAATTCAGTCTAAAGTGGGGGTTGTGCTCTGTCACACCCTGAGATAATGTATTTTATATTTTTTGTGGCAGTGTTGCATTTCTTCTTTCAATAAATAAAATGGTGTATATGAAGCTAAGGCAAACAGAAGTTGTTTGCAGCAAGTAATATTTTCAGTTTGGTGTTTCAGCTGCAGTTGCAATGACCAAATGCCAAGAAAGGCAGCCCATTTACCTTTAGGAATTAGGTAGTCTCTCTTCTTAACTCTCAGTGGCAAGCTGCACAGGCTAGATGGTATAACTATTAAGGATAAACAGAAGGCTTAGTCTCCTCATCTCCATGTAGTCCTTTTATTGTGTGGATGGAATATTGAATTGAAATTCTTACGACGAGCAAATAAACAATATTACTTAATAGTAGAGCATATTTCCAGAGGATTTGAATCTGACCAGAACATATGGAAAATTTCAGATCCGACCAGAAGCTAATTTATATATACAGTAGAGTCTTGCTTATCCAACCTTTGCTCATCCAATGTTCTGTATTATCCAATGCAGTCTGCCTCCCACCTGGATCTACAGCTGTTTCAATACATTGCAATGTTTTGGTGCTTAATTTGTAAATACAGTAATTAATACATTACTACATAATGATACCATTGCAGGAAAGGCATTTGTTGTAATACATGATATTTTGGTGCTTAATTAGTAAAATCATAATGTAATTTGACGTTTAATAGGCTTTTCCTTAATCCCTCCTTATTAGCCAACATTTTTGTTTAGCCAACATTCTGCTGGCTCATTTATGTTGGATAAGCAAGACTCTACTGTACTTAACTCTAAGAAAAAAAAATTTAAGAAAGAAGGGCAGAATACATGACTTTTCAAGAAAAATTGAGAAAGCAAAGGACATAGCTT